CGCCATTTCTCCTCCTCTTCATGTCCGTCGCCCTTCTCCCGACCCCCGCGCTATGCCAATACTCGACAATAGGCGTCCCGGTAGCGATTGTAGCCGGCGGCGTTTACGACCCTCTCTCAGGCGACACGACGTCCCAGGTATGGGAGATTAATCTCCGAACGCGTCGCGAGATAGGCTATTCCAGCAAAGCCGACAGCAACGCGAACGCGCAGCTCACTTCCTGCGGGGTCGCGACCGACGGCACGGCCTACTTATCTTCAGGCGGCTCGTATCTAAACGCGATTAACTACACCCTAGACGGCGCGGTGCCGCTACCGCCCGTGGCTCTTCCCGGCGGATTTTCAGGAACGGCTGTAGCCCTTGGGGGACCTTCGGAAAATCTTCTTGTTGTAGCTGATGGGTCGGAGACAGCTGCGGGTGCAGTTTCAGTAGACCGGACGACGGGGTCGTCGCGCCAGCTCGTTGGAGCGGGTTACCAGTGTCTGTCCGCTTCGTTCTGCTCTTCGCCAGCCGCCTCCCCCTCGGATTTCCTCGTGCTCACCTGCCACGTCACCGCTGACGATTCTGACGTGGTGGTCATTGTGCCAATAGATCCGACGACTGGAAATTTCCAAGCCAATTCGGCGATTAAGATGTTTTCGGCGTCGTACGCGGCGCGGCAGGCCGTCTGTTCTCCCGGCGGCGGCTTCTTAGCGGTTCTCCGGTACGACACGAACATTCTCTACACGTACGCGCTTCCGCTCGCCGGGACCGCGCTCCCGCCGCCGCTATCGACAACGGTGCTGACGACAGGCACGCCCGGATCTCTCGGCGTGGATCCGCAGAATAAGAACGTGCTGGTTACCAGCGCCGCGAATTACGGCGGCACGTCTACGCTGATGGCGTCGCGAGGCGCAACTTTTTTGGGGACCATGGACGCGATTGGCTACACGGAGGCTGGGGGGTGCGCCTCGGCGGCGTATTTAGGCTCCTTTCAATACTCCACCGCCGCGTATGACGGCGGGAAGCTCGCGGTGTATCCCAGCAGCCCAGCGCTGGCGCTGCTCGCGCTTCCCGAAGGCGTATACGCGATGGCGCTCGCAGCGGACGGCGCGATCGAGACCGACACGACGGGATTTGTGCCGCTTGGGGGTACCGAGTCGGGTTCGAGCTTTTTCTCCAGCGCGGTTTGCGTTCAGAAATTCGTTGCAAATCGCCCCCCGCCGTCCCCGCCGCCGCCGTCCCCCCCTCCCCCTAGGCCTCCCCCACCGCGCCCTCCGCCGTCTCCGCCGCCGCCCCCTAAACCGCCCAGCCCGCCGAAGCCGCCCCCGCCATCTCCCCCGCCAAAGCCGCCACCAAGCCCGCCCCCTCCGCCGAAACCGCCTTCCCCGCCGCCGCCGCCCAAGCCGCCGAGCCCGCCGCCGAGACCGCCGCCGCCATCTCCGCCGCCGAAGCCGCCGCCCAGTCCGCCTAAACCACCTCCCCCGCGCCCTCCCCCTCCGCCTCGTCCCCCGTCTCCCCCGCCTCCCCCCATCACCGCTGGAATGGTCACGGATCAATCCGCAAGCACCGTCACGGACACTTCCGTTCCGCTCGATTCCCCCCCTCCTCCTCTCGTTTCTTCCCCGCCACCTCCGCTCGTCGCTTCCCCGCCTCCACTTGTCGCGTCGCCCCCTCCGCTCGTCGCTTCCCCGCCTCCACTTGTCGCGTCGCCCCCTCCGCGCGTCGCTTCCCCGCCTCCACTTGTCGCGTCTCCCCCTCCGCTGGTATCCTCCCCTCCACCGCCCAACCCTCCGCTCCCGCCATCTCCGCCCCCTCCCCCGCAACCCCCAAGTCCTCCTCCCCCGTCTCCCCCTCCCTCACCACCTCCCACCCCCCTTCTTCCCCTTCCCCTTGTCAGCTCTCCGCCTCCCCCTGTGTATTCTCCGCCTCCCCCTGTGGGTTCCCCCCCTCCCTCGTTGCCCCCCCTTGGGCTAGCTGTCTCGAGCACTCTCTCCCCGCCTCCGCCATTAACTGAATCCGCTATTAACAGCCCGCCTCCTCCTGCGGATTCAGCTGCAAGCAGGACACATCCTCCGACCGTTGATCTCGTTATAAGCAGCCCGCCTCCGCCGATTGCCGTAACCGTCGTAGATAGCCCGCCTCCACCTGTCTCTGTACCCGTTACAGCAAGCCCACCTCCTCCTGTCGCTGTATCCGCTATAGCAAGCCCGCCTCCACCAGCCGCCGCATCCGTTATAAACAGTCCGCCTCCACCAGTCGCCGTACCCGTTACAAACAGCCCGCCTCCGCCTGTCCTCCCTTCCGCGTCCGGCGTCCTCTCCCCGCCAGGCGCCAAAGAAGCTTCCGCGGACCCAGATTCCGCCACCGCCCTTTCGCCGCCGCCGCCCGCTGTTGACGCCTCTCCGCCCCCCGCCAGTCCGCCTCCCCCGCGCCCGCCTCCCCCTAAGAAAGCCCCAGTTAAGAAGCCCAAGAAAAAGCCGCCCAAGAAGAAAAAGTCAATGTCCAAGAGTGGGAGCGGAGGGGCGACCGCATCCTCGCTATCAGCTGATGTGTTTGGCGCGTCAGGTACACGGTTGACTGACTCAACAGGGTGCATCGCTACTTTTTTGTTTTCCTTGATGCAAGATGCGTACATAGCATTACGGTGGTTTACGTTTACGCTTTATCCTAACTCCCACATGCACATCTTCCCATTTTTCCCCCGATGTTTCCCTCTTCACCCTAATGCTGCGCACCTCTTCCCCAATCCCCATTCTCATGGCTCCCTAAACCGATCCCTTCTTCTTGTTGCACCCTCGCGTAGGCGCGTGTTTGAATCTCTTCATCTGCCCCTTTTGAACGAATGCCTTGTTTTCTCACTCCTCTCGTCCCCTTTCTCCCTTTCGTTCCATGTGAATCCTCAGGCGCCGCGACGTGCAAGCTGGGGGTGCGGCAAAAGTGCTTGACGCGGCTCGTGTGCCAAGACGCGCTGGACGTGGGAGGGTGCTCGTGCCTTCGCGAGGCTGGTTCGCCGTCGTGCACGAGTGAGTAAAAGAATTCTCGCGAATATCGCCAAGTCTGTACTGTCGCCTGCCGAAGTTCTCTCGCCAATCAATTTTCTCTCGCCCTCCTGTGCTCTCTCGCCAATGTTATGCACATGAACTATTAACTGATCTAGGATTGTTGCTTGAATATTTTTATCACACATCTGTCTCCATTTCAGCAGATTCCCATGTTGAGGATGCAGATTAATACACAGATATCTTCACCTCTCTTGAGTGGGAGGCTGGGAGCAACCCATGCTTCACTTGTTTCATCATTCCAACAATTCACACACGTACCACATTCCATCTTCCATTAAGCTCCTCTGTCTTCTCTCCAGTTCCTCCCCTCAGGAATTTAGGATCTTGATCTTCCATCAAGCTCAACTTCCTGTTTTTATTCACTCCCTGTGGCTCCCTCTTGCTTCCTCCTGCTCACTCCCTTTCCCTGTTGCTCCCTTCCCCCAATTCCAGTTACCCGCAAGTGCATGGTGCCGGCTGCATGCCCAGTGGAAGCGCTCTGCACAGCCCCTGCTGACGGCTCGCCCCCGACCTGCTCGTGCCCCGCGGGCTTTGCACCTCTCAAGGCAGCAGCAGAGGACACTGCGTTCGACTTCTGCGCTCGCACCCGCTGCAGCAGCTCGCTCGCATTCATTGGATTCGACTGTGGTACGTCTCTGTTATAGCAATACCTTCGGGAACACTAGTGTGACCTTATGCTTATTTCAACAGCTTGCAGTTTATGCACAAGTTCCAATCCTGCATTAGTGTGTCTTATGTTTGTTTCCAATCCTGCCCATATTTCATCTAATTGCTATTCGATGTTCCTCAAGTGTTGTTCAATGCTTCTAGTAGTATTCTTCATGGCGTGCCGTCCCATGTCCCTCAACATGCTCTTCAGCACCCCTCCCTGTGGTGTTCCATAGTCCCCTCTCTGCTGTTCCGGGCCTCTTTCAATGATGTACCGTATGATGCTCCTCTATGTTCCATGGTTCTGTCAATGCAGGGCCACCAAGCTCTGTGGTTTGAAGCAGAGTCATCCACTGGGAATTGTCTGAGTTGCAGCATTTGAATTTATTCTGTTGTTGGGCCTAAACAGCTGTTAGCCTTGCAGGCTTCGTTTAGTGAACGTTTTTTGTTGGGCGTGGGAAGTTTAACTAGTGTACCATAGACCTATTGCTGCACAGTAGGAATTGAGGTGTGGTGGGCTGTTTTTTATAAACAAGGGGTTTTTCCGGAGAATTGCTTCGTCAGTTGCCTTGATGTGTGTTACGGTAGAACTGATGATGTTACCATGAATGAGGACTCCAGCCACCAACTCTCGCCATGCTATGCTATGGTTGGTAAACATGACTTAAGCCCCTCCTGAACATTCTTTGCGGTCTAGCCATTGCGTGAAGGTCTGAAACAGACCTAGGGCCTCTCTCTACCGCGAATCATGAGTCATGAACCATGACGAATGGGCTGTAAATGTAGGTAACTAAGGTACTAACTATGTCCTAAGGCACTGCAGTATCACAGTTTTTCACCTTGTTCATGTACAACTAACCAAATAAACCATGATTCGATGGTATCAGCACCACACAACCATGTTCCCGGACTCCCGGGACCTGATAAGCTATATGCCCATCCAACAACATTGTATTCATCAATCACCAGTAAAACGGAATGGGGCCTTGGGACAAAGAACTTGTTTATCACCATAATTGCAGCAGCAACCGCCAGGTTCTATCGACAAATTGAATTGTTCTCACTGCATTGTGGCAGCAAGAACGTTCATGAGAAAAACACAATTCACAACATACACGAAACCCAGAACCAGGGGAACAAACACTTGCTCTGGGTGTTTTCTGGAAATCAGAGCCAGCGATTGTGGTCGGGGCTGTCTAATGGGATTGTACTGCGGTTGAAGGGGTAAGGCTGGGGCGGGAGCACTCGGAGCGTCTGGGCTGTCAAATGGCCAGCGAAACAAGTCTCTTAAACAGATGCCCAAAACGTCTAGTAGAGTCGCGTCATCCCTGGAACGCGATAGACTGCTGTGCAGAGGACCCCAGCAATCTGCTCTGTCAAAGCTGGGCGAGTGGGAGTGGTAGTGAATCCATACAGTTGCGGCGGTAAGATCTGCAACCAGTCGCGAAGTAAGATATGAGTGGGTTCACACAATGCTGAAGCACAGGATCTATGGGTAGGTTAACATAATGGTGAAGCACACGATCTAGTGAAGTGCTTACCTGGATGAGAAGCGAGCAACGCCTTTTCAGCGTACATGATGGACTCCAAAACCTGTTGACGGAGACAATAATACATGCTAGGGTTAGTCAACTGAGCGTCAAACGACAAGCTGCATCAGCAGATCAAACAATATATTATGGTGCTCACCAATGGCATTTCTCTTTCAAATATCCAGCTTCGGATGACAGGGGGCGCGAGGAATGAATGAGACCCGCTAACATGACAGTGAAGATGCAAGGAATAATGGACTTCGTCCTCGGCCTTTTGTCGTACTTTCCACTCCCCTACGACTTCGTCGCGGAAGAGCTTCGATGACCATCCATCTAGCTGACCAAGGAAAAAAAGGTGTCAGCATTTTATTCAACATTTGCGGATAAAGTGAAAGGGAGGAAGAATGGGGGAGGGGGGGGGGGGGGGGGGGGGGGGGGACGGTGGGGGAGGGGGGGTGCAGTTGCACACCTGTTTGACGTCAACGGCTGAACTAATCGTCAAAAATAGGTCAGCCGTCATGTCGTCATGTGTCACTGTATATACACGAGGTAAGATGCCAGCGGCTCCTGACACAGCTAGTGCCGGTGTGCTCCCTGTCATGTCCGAAATGTGAAGCCTCGAGGGACAGAATTTCGCAGGCTCGCCAAGTCCCGAGACCTGAAACGAGGAAATATGCATCCATGATAACTATAAGTGCTTTCTCGAGACAACAGGCGAGATATCAACAGCGGGGCAAGGGCTGGAGTGCTGACCACTGTAGGTTGTAGGTGCTTTCGATGATCCAGGCATTGGCGAGAGTTGTGGGGGTAAGTGTACTCAAGAGGTGAGAACCTAAATGATGTCTCTGCCCGTCGGCGACACCTGCGTTGAGTATCTGCTGGAAACCTCTTTTGATTGAGTCTGCAACGGAGTCCTGCATGGGAAAGGCCTGTTGACATTTGAACTAGAGCTTCGAATCTGCAGATTACTAGATGCCTGCTGCTGCTCGGAAGGGCGCCGCCGCTTTCAGAGTAATGACTCAGCTACTTATCGACTGATAGTCAGAAGCACTCGGATAGGGAGCGGTTGAGTGAGAATTAGGAAACCCGCAAGCAGATCTCACTCAACACATCCGCTACCCGAGTCTCAAACTAACCATCTATTGCAGTCACCCGAATCGTAGCTAACAAATGACGCTTGCTGCTCCTGCTGGAAGAGAAACCCAAGCCAAGTCCCACCAGACTAAGGAATTGAACCGAACCGCAGGACTGTGGCAGGGATGTGCGACCACACAGGCATGGGACAGGTCACAAGACTGGTCACAAGAGAGGATTGAGTGGAGGAGCGAATAGAGGGGGGAGGTGTGTGAGGGGAGGGATGCTGGGGAGTGTGTTGTGGCGTGTGGGAGAGGGAAAGGAAAGGCAAGGAGAGGAATGGAAAGAAAGCAACGATGGAGAAGGTGCATTGATCGATAGGGGCCGCTGGTGTTGGAGCGCGGGACATGGGAAAAGATCATATTAGGGCCGAACAGTGCCAGAAGGGTGATCGAAGTAGGGCCGAAAAATCTCGACCGTAGGATTTCAGCCCGGAGCTGACCAAACGACTCGGCAAACAAGCCGAGCCATAAATAAAGAACAATTTCTAAAAAAACCTAATTTCGAATTCTTATTATCTATTAGAGGTTTTGACTGCCGACTACTACAGCGCGCGCGTCGCCTTCTTTTGGAATTGAATTCGGCGTGTCAAATCGTGATTACGTAACAACATAATATATTCTGGGTGATGCATACCCACCTACCCAATCAGAAACCACAGAAAAAATAAAATATTACCCATTCGGAAACGGATGCGACTCGGGAGGGATCAACCCTAAATACCAGGAAGGTCCATTTTTCAGGGTTTATCCATCCCGAAATTGAATCCAGGTTCTCAATGAGTTTTTGTTTTTTTTGCTGCCCTAGAGTTCCCGGTAGAGTCCGCTCGCTAAACGACACGCGAGCGAAAATGCGAGCCGGTACATGCCACTAGTAACATAATTACGTGCAATAAATAAAGAATCTCTGTTAATTCCTTCTTGTGAAGCGGCTTGGTAATTTTCGGGCCTCTCGGCCCCTATTCGATCACCCCTCTGGCACTGTTCGGCCCCTGTATGATCTTCTGCCGCGGGACATCGCATATGGGATGGATGGGGAAGAGATGTGCCGTGATGGAGTTGCGACGTGGCCGATTCTTCCGTAGCCAGTCATTCAGGAACAGATATGGGTAGGATCCGCCACGTAAGCGATTCTCAGCCTTGTGGAGACATTTTTACGGGCTGGTTTGATTTGTTCGGTTGGGGGAGGATTCGTGTGAAGGTGGTAGCAAAAACAGGCGAAAACATTGCCACAAGTCTGCGAAATCCTGCACCAGCTGTCGGAGACCTCGAAAGGGCTTCTGATTTGAGGTGCTGCGATTGGCTGGATTTGAATTGAGAACCGGCAGGGGTAGACATCGACCAACTTTCTCTTAGACTTGTTTCGCGGACCATGGGTCGTAAGTGTCAGTTCTGTCGCAACTGGTATACAGTATCTAGCAAACGCCAGGTACAGTACGCTTGCCTTTCAGAAACCAGTCCTGAAACTATGGAGTGTAACAAACGGTAGAAACCCAGTTACAGTATGATGCGCATGTCAAGAAGTTCCGTTCCCAGTTTCTTCTGGAGGTCGTTCGTGGGGTTCAAGAAAGAGGATGTGCAGAGCATAAGTGCTATGGTCAGACCGTGCCGCCATGGCTAAACCATGTCGACGAGGGCCCCAGTTTGAGCCACACGTCCTTGCGTTAGTCAGCACGGCGCAAGCGTTTCTTGCCAACAAAGAGTCGAGGTGCCTGTGTGTAGCACCCAAGACGACCACCTCTGTGACGGGGATCTCTCGATCTCTTCTGACTAGAGGAGGCTCTAGGGGAGCTGCTATATATTTGCGTACTCGAGCTTTTCTGACGACGTTCGCCGCATTACGAAACGAAGACGCTTCCACTGCGTCATGGATTTTGCGATCGCACAGAAGTTTGTTACTCTGCCTAACAGCTTTTCCACCGCTCTGTCCAGGTCTCGATCAGAATCTTTCCATAAAAACTTCTCTCACTCTCGAGGCTACACTCACGCTTTTAGAAGATTAAGATGTTCAGCAAATGACTCCTCGACGTCATCAGGTAATCGGCACTTCGGACGATTTGTGTGTCGGTCATTTTGAGCCTCCATTCCTGCTTTCGCATTTCACTCGATGACACCCTTCATTTTCTCCTCTCTACGTGCAGAAGGCAGCAACGAGTCAGACCGCAACACCCTAAGAGAGAGCGCTCCTGCCACCAACTTGGGGTCTCAGGATTCACAACAATACCCACAAGACTTGGAAGATTCACGATTACCGCGTGACTTTGCACGAGCGGAAGCTCGGTCTGTTGCTGATGCTAAGCAGGATAGCTCACGAGCGATACCCCGAAGGTTCTTACTTGGTGGAGCCACATTAGCCGGTGCAGGGATTCTTTTAGAAGGTGGAGGCGACAGAGCAGGCCGGCCGTTACGCAGTAACAAGGGCCGGCGATGGTCTATCCAGGGTTCGGGTAACGCGACTCCCTTACCGTTACCGTTACAGCCAGATGTTGACTCTCTCCCTGGGGAGTTGAGCAGCCTGCTAGACGACAAACAAGGCCTTTGGGTGTCTGAAGCGGGGTCCGCTGCCCGGCTCGTTCCTGTTCACGAGGGGTTGATCGCGGAGAAGAGATTCAGCGAATTCGGACCGTACGATGTGGAGAATCTGTACCATCAGGAGCACACGTGTGCATCCTGCTTCCCGGACTGCGCAGCAGGGGGCTGCTTGTTGCGGATAACGGTGACGTACCCAGCGAGGATGCGGCACACGTCATGGACGCCTCAATACTCGTTACGGGTCGGTCATTCGTTACCTTATAACCACGCTCCCTCTTTCTTCGTACTATGCCTGTGCTCCCCATCCCCCTCCTCTCTTTCCTTAGGCTGACCACCTAACCCCTTTGTCAACCCCTTCCCCGGCTCTGCCGTCCCCTATTCTGTACCTCGTGCCTCTCCCACACTCTTGGCCGCCTTTCTTCGCTGCTGTCTTCTTTGCTGTCTTGCTTCTCGCCCCACAGGAGGACAAGTTCCCCCTGGCGGTGTTCAGCAGCGGGTTCCTGCTGGACTCTGCTCAGTACCGCAGCTACGCCCATCACCTATTAGTCACATTTCTTCGCTGCTGTCTTGCTCCTCTCCCCCCATGGCCCCCCCACAGGAGGACAAGTTCCCCCTAGCAGTGTTCAGCAGCGGGTTCCTGCTGGACTCGGCTCAGTACCGCAGCTACGCCCACCACCTCGCCAGCTGGGGCTTCGCTGTAGTCACCTACAATAAGGTACGGTACAGGGGCGTTTTGATGAGTTTTCTTGTGCTTTCTTTCAATCAACTGGTAGTTCAGCCAGGGCTGGTGGGGTTTTGATGTGCGAAGACAATGCGCGCAGCAACACTCGCTTGATCCCGTGCTAATCAGCATGGCAACTGTTGCTTCGTGCGGTCCTTGTTTTTACCACCGTCTCTGGCTGAATGTCCAATTGAACAGCCAACCGTTCGACTGATTGACTGATTGACACCCACATCACGTGTTGCATGCATGGCAGGTGGAGGGGCTGATGGGCCCTCTGGACGACATCATCTGTGCGCGGTTCATCACAGAACTCATCAACTGGGCTGGCACCAGGTGAGTCTTTTATGTCATCATCATCATCGTCGTCGTCGTCGTTGTCGTCATCATTGTGTTTTTCTCGTTAAAGGTCATTTTCTATGATGCCAAGCTGCAGCAGTCAGGCTTGATGTCTTGTCTGGCTCAACGTCAAGAACTGTCATGGTGCAGATGCTCTGACCTTAGAGTTGATTCGCCCGTGGCTCATAGCAAAGACACACAAAATCTCATGCTGTAGCTGCTGTGATTCTTTCGGCGTCCTGTCTGGCTGCTTGCTCCCCCTCTGCAGTCACTTGCTTCGCAGAATAGCAGACAACACCCGCGTCTACCTCTGCGGTCATTCTAGAGGAGGTAAGACCTCCTTTCACGATTGTATTTCTGTGCTGTGAACTCCTGTGTGATTCAGTTTCACGTGTGTGCAGAATGTTGACTTTGTGCCCCATGTGTTTGTTTCTTTTTCATTCTACTCCCAATCTTCACTACTGTGTGCGGCCAAGGTGAGCGTGCTGGCAGCAGCCATTATATTGAGAAGTGATTTCCCTTGTTTGATGTGTGTGTGTGTGTGCGCGCGCGCGTGTGTGTGTGTGTGCGCGCGCGTGTGTGTGTGTGTGCGCGCGCGTGTGTGTGCGTGTGTGTTTGTGTGTGTGTGTGTGTGGTGTGCAATCCTGTCAATGTATGCGTACAACCATCCATCCCCTGTGCATGTGTGCATGTGCTCGTGTGAGCAGCCAAGGTGAGCGTGCTGGCAGCGGCCATGGACCCTCGAGTGCTCTCCCTAGGCCTCGTCGACCCTGTCGATAACACAAGTGAGTTGCCAACCACCAGCTCCAGCGCACACTCATGAGACGTATGTGTTTTGAGTCGACTCAACACAAGCGTGCTGGCAGCAGCCATGGACCCTCGAGTGCTCTCCCTAGGCCTCGTCGACCCTGTCGATAACACAAGTGAGTTGCCAACCACCAGCTCCAGCGCACACCCGTGAGACATATGTGTTTTGAGTCGGGTCAACACACGCTTGCTGGCAGCGGCCATGGACCCTCGGGTGCTCTCCCTAGGCCTCGTCGACCCTGTCGATAACACAAGTGAGCTGCCAATCACCAGCGCACACCCACTGAGGCATGTGTGCGCAGTTTGACTCGAACAGGAAATCACACATGTGTCAAACAGCAATTCACTCGTTTTGTACCTGCAGTCTATGCCCCTCTGGCCCTCCCATAGGTAACCCTCAGCAGTGGCGCCCCTACAGGCAGGCACCAGCGCCATCACCCTTCTTTTCCCTGCTATACCCCTCCCCCTTCCCTCCCCGTTAAACCCTCCTACTTCTTTCCCCCTACCCCTTCCCTCCTCCCTCTCCCTGCAGTCTATGCTCCACTGGCCCCCGGGTACCCCTCAGCAGTGGCAGCTATGAGGGCGGGCAACAGTGCCATAGAGCACCTGCTTGCTGATGCCAACCCCGCCAACATGGGACTCACCCGCTCCCTCCCCACCCTCGTCATCCAATAACCCTCCCTTCAACTCAAGCATGGCACGTGCACCAGTGCCATTGAACCATGCCCTGTCTCCCCTCCCTCTGTATCCATCCCCCATATGCTTTCCCCCCCTGCAGTCTATGCCCCTCTGGCCCCCGGGTACCCCTCAGCAGTGGCAGCTATGAGGGCGGGCAACGACGCCATCGAGCACCTCCTCGCCGATGCCAACCCCGCCAACCAAGGCCTCGCCGTCTCCCTCCCCACCCTTGTCGTTGGCGGCGGCTACCTCGGCGACTGCGCCCCTGCTGCCTCCAACTACCGCTGGTTCTTTAAAGAGGCTGGTTCAGAGAGGCCTTCAACTCTCTCTCTTCCAACCCCCTCGTCTTCCCCCCTCTCTCCCCCTGCAGTCTATGCGCCGCTGGCCCCCGGGTACCCCTCAGCAGTGGCAGCTATGAGGGCGGGCAACAGTGCCATCGAGCACCTCCTTGCCGATGCCAACCCTGCCAACCAAGGACTCGCCGTCTCCCTCCCCACCCTTGTCGTTGGCGGCGGCTACCCCGGCGACTGCGCCCCTGCTGCCTCCAACTACCGCTGGTTCTTTAAAGAAGCTGGCAACCCTAGCTGGGAGGTTGTGCTGCGAGACGCGGGGCATTTCCAGTTTTTAGACTCGCCGCCGGTGCTGCAGGCGGCTGTGTGTGGGCTGGGCCCAGCCAGGGATGAGGATGTGAGGCGGGCCACGAGGGCGTGTATTGCCGCGTGGGGCCATGCGACTGTGCCCAGGCAGAGGGGGAAGACGGTGGGTGGGGGTGGGAGAGGGGCGGTGCCGCAGCAGGGAGGGGGAGATGGGGGAGTGGGAGGGGAGGAAGAGGGTTGCATCAGCATTGGCGGGAGGTGCGGTGGCAGTGGCAGCGGTGGGACGAGCGGGACCAGTGACGATATGGACGCCGCTGCAGCTGATAGCTGGAGAGCGGGTGCAGGAAGGGAGAAGGGGCCGGCGCAGGCGCCTGCTCAGGCTCCTGCTCCCGCTTTGACCCCGTTGACTCCGTTGACTGCGGGGGAGAACCTGGAGGCCCCTGTGTCGGATAGGAAGGATGAGCTGGAGGCCATGATGGTTTCAGTTGCTGCTGAGCTAGCAGCGGTTGGAGGGACCAAGTTCAATTCAAGGCTGAAACTATGACTGCTGTAGAGTGCTTGTTCAGTGGTTGCAAATGTATGTGCTGCTGATGTTTTGTAAGCTTATGTTTTATGTGTTGGGTCGTTCTGATGTGGTGTTGATATCAGTATGTGTGTGCGTGCTCATATGATTTTGATGCTTCAAGAAAGGTCGTGATAGCCTCAGGTTACTGTAATGTATAGAAATGTCGATCGCAACATTCTTAATTTTTGGTACTGTATGTGACAGGTATACAGAGATGCATAACGGAAATGGCTTCGGCAACATCGAGGATCCCAGATTCTGCCACTCATGTTGGGTGCTCGGGTGCTGCCCATTGCACTGATCACGGATGGCGTCTCGGGACCTGCGGAGTCCACTTGACTATTCCCCACAATGTCTATCGCCTTATTTCAAGAAGTTTGATCGCTTACTGTCAGCCTCGCTGACGATGATCATAGCCGTCCGATCAGGGCTTGGCCTTACTTGAGTAGCAACGAGCACGTCACAGCAAAAGTAGCTCCTAGTCGTGACCATGCAGGGGACACCTCTCACCTTGAATACCTTTGATATGTGAAGTTACCGTGTTTATTAGTCACTGAATCCTTGTCCCTTGAATGTGCCATGAGCGGACATGACAACGAGTTACTACGATTCTCACTCTAGCGAATCCTCTGTCATTATGAGACACTGCGATCCTCACTAGCGAAACTCCTGTCAGTATAAGTCTCTGCAAATCTTAGTAGTGAATCCACGGTCAATATGAGTCACCGCTGTCGGCAGTAGCAAGCCGTTGGTCGTTATGATTCGCTGCGATCCTCATTAACGAATCTCAAGTCAATATGAGCCACTGCTGTCGTCGTTAACGAATCCGCTGTCAGGATGAGTCACTGCTGGTGCAAGTGCGAGGCGGGAGCGGGGCAGTGCGGGCCCAAGGTACCGAAGCTCAAGACGCTCTTCAACGCGCACAAGAACCTAGACGACTCGTCTCTTCGCCGTGGAGACTGGGAAGCCGAACTCCACGTCATCTGGGAGGTGCGTTACAAGTCGCGAGAGGTGCGTTACAACTCATGGGAGATGCGTTACAAGTCACCGGAGGTGCGTTACATGTCGCGGGAGGTGCATTGCAAGCCACGTGAGGTCAGGATGAGTCACTGCTGGTGCAAGTGCGAGGCGGGAGCGGGGCAGTGCGGGCCCAAGGTACCGAAGCTCAAGACGCTCTTCACGCGCACAAGAACCTAGACGACTCGTCTCTTCGCCGCGGCGACTGGGAGGCCGAGCTCCACGTCATCTGGGAGGTGCGTTACAAGTAGTGAGAAGTGCGTCACAAGTCAGAAGAAGAGGGTTACAAGGGGTAAAATGTGCGTTTCAAGTCACGGGAGGAGCGTTGCAAGGCATAAGAGGTCGATTACTAGCTATGTGAGGTGCGCTTACATGTCGTGCAAGGTACATTTCAAGTCACGGAAGGTGCGTTACAAGTCATGGGAAGGGTGTTACATGTCATGAGGGGCAGGAGGAAGCGTGTACTCAGGGAACATGAGAGATTAGGACAAGCATCCATGGATAACACAACCATTGGCGAAAGATTCTCTCTGTTGTTGCCTGCCAATTTCTTCCCCATGCTGCCTCTTTGACCTCCCACATCCTTCATTCCTACCCTTTCTCCTTCTCGTTTCCTGTGTTCCTACCAACCCCTTCCCTCTGCTCTCCCTCTCTTCCTCCGTTGGCTTTCTTTATTCTCCCCTCTGTGTGATTCAGGAAATAGGAGAGGATAAGCTGATTCGCTCAGAAGACCTGCGATCGGCCGTTGCAGACGCTGTGGATAGGGCCTATGAGAAGGTGATGACGTGGACTGTTGGTGTGCTGTGATAGTTATAGTAGCCCATGCTTTGGGTCGACTTTTGAGAAGCGCTGTAATTGAGATGGCTTTGTGTGCTTCTAGAGTGAACCAGTTAAAGAAGCGTTATAGAAACAGAACAAGTTGGCAGCGATCGTCGATTTGTGCTGACAATGTCATTTCCTGCCGTCTCTTGCCGTGCCGTGCCATGCCATGCCACGCCATGCCGTGCCATGCCATGCCACGCCATGCCGTGCCGTGCCGTGCCGTGCCGTGCCATGCCATGCCACGCCATGCCGTGCCGTGCCATGCCATGCCACGCCATGCCGTGCCATGCCACGCCATGCCCTGCCAAGCCATGAGATGCAAAGCCTTCTCTTCTCTCTCCCATCACAGGCAGTGCGGGAGGCAGTGCAGCAGCGTACAGAGCTGGAGGAGGGTGTGAGGGAGGCGGAGCAACAGCTGTACGACCTGCTGGGGCCCGATGCAGAGTGCCTCGTGGCTCCCCATGCCCTGCCACTGCAAGAGCGGCTGGATATCAACCTTTCCCACCTGCACCAGCTGGAATCCGTGAGTGCTTTGATACGTCCTAGAACAAACCCACGCCCTCCCAGCCGATGCACAGTGCCTCGCGGCTCCCCATGTGCTGCCGCTGCAAGAGAGAGGCTCGAAATCTTAGAACAAACCCACGCCCTGCACCTGGTGACTGTGACTCCCCGCGCCCTGCCACTGCTGGCATCCTCTCCCACCCACCCAACCGCCTCGGCTCCGTTCCGTGTGCCACCCCTCCCACTTTTCTCCCTTTTTTTTCCACTTTTCCCCACTTTCCTCCCATTTTCCTCCCTCCTTCCTCCCACTTCTCTCCCTCCTTCCTCCCATATCCCTCCGGTGAGCCAAGGGAGGAGGGCAAGGAGTGGCTGGGAGGGCTGGTGGTGCTGGCAAAGCTGAGGCAGCGACTTATCTGCCGGAGCTCATCGCTGCACCTGTCTTTCGAGATTTCCCCGAATCCCTTCCTCTTTCCTCCATTTGTACCCCTCCATTCTGCAGCAAAGGGAGGAGGGCAAGGGGTGGCTGGGGGGCCTGGTGGTTCCGGCGAAGCTGAGGAGGAAACTCATCTGCCTGCGCTCCTCGCTGTACCTTGATCCACCTTACAAGTCCTCCTTCTGTCCTCTCCCTGTCATCCCTCTGCCCTCTCCCATTCCTCCGGTGCAGCAAAGGCAGGAGGGGAAGGGGTGGCTGGGCGGGCTGGTGGTGCTGGCGGAGCTGAGGAGCCGTCTCATCTCCCTGCGCTCCTCGCTGCACCTGCCACCACCAGAGAGCGATGCTGACATGCAGGACGTGAGCCATGGGGGTTGCATTGGTGTGGGTTTGTTTGGTTTTTGTTCATCGCTGCACCTGCTACCGCCAGAGAGCGACGCTGACATGCAGGACGTGAGTCCCTTTGAGTTGAACTGGGGAGGGTGGGTGTTGATATTTTTGTGTGAGTGTAGAGATTGGTGCTGTTATGTGGGTGTTACTATAGCGAACAGGCTAAGAAGAGTGTTGAGACTCTTAGGATGCGAGGAACGACAAGAAAAAGTGTTTTCATGTGGACATCCTCCCCGTCTCTCCCCCCTCTCTCCCCCCGCTTTCCCTCCACCTTGATCGGATTCCAGATTCTAGAGAGCACAATGGAGGCTCTTCCCAACGCACACTCAATCACTAGTTCCCTTCCCAACGCACTCTCAATCAGTAGTTTTCTTCCCAACGCACACTCAATCACTAGTTTTCTTCCCTCTCAACTCCCCCTTTCTTCCTTCTTCTCCGTGGCCTCCCCACCCCGCTGCTCCAAATCCAGATTCTAGAGAGCACAGTGGAGGCTCTTCCCAACGCACACTCAGTCTCTCCTCTTCTCTCTCCATGACGTTGCAGGAAGTTTTTGAGAATTCTAAAAAACTCCCTGCTTCATCCTCTCCTCTTCTCTCTCCATCCACCCTCACTCTCTTGCTCGCCTCCGGTCTCCTCTCCCCTTGTGATTTCAAAACCCAGATTCTAGAGAGCACAATGGAGGCCCTTCCCAATGCACACTCACACGATCCAAACCAGAAGCTGCAGGCACACAAGGGGGCAGCACTGCCGCACTCCGTGCAGCAGAAGCAGCAGAAGAAGCAGAAGCACCACCACCACCATCCCATGGGTCTACAACCGCAGCAGCAGCAGCAGCCCATGGGCGAGCGTTTAGAGGCCTTCTATAGCACACTGTGCCAAATGGAAAGCGCATGGGCTCACCACCGCTCTGCACCCCCTGCAAACTCTGCCTCTCCCTGGAAAAAGGACAATGGGCAGAGTCTTTCTGTTGCTGGCTCGCAGGTCCCTTCTCCCCGCCCCCACTCTCCCCCTTCTTTCCGCCACCCCCTCTCCCCCTCCGTCCGCCCCCTCACTCACTCCTCCACGTCCCTCCTCCCCTCCTCTCGCTCCGCATCTAATCTCCTCCGCTCGACCACCCCCCCTCACACACCACGCTCTCAGTGCTCCAACCGAAGCAACAGGGACGGCGTTAGTGATAGAGGCACTGGGTGGTTGAGGAGCAGCGGTGCTGGTGCTGGGGCAGGTAGTGTTGAGAATTCAAAGAGGTCAGTTCGGCAGAGTAACAGCAGCAGCAGCAGTAGTCACAGCAGCAACCGGGCCAGTAGCAGCAGCTACAGGGGTAGGCGGGGGGAGTATAGGAGGGCAGGGAGAGATGGAGAGGCGGATGTGCTGGTGTTGTCAGGAGGAGGAAGCGGAGGACGGAGTAGAGAAGGGGGAAGTAGAGGGGGAGGAAGCCGAGGAGGAGGAGAAGGAGAAGGATCGCCATCATTAGTGGATGGGCCGCTCACACTCGAGTCACTGAGTGAGTTTTATGAAGTTGTCAGAATCTACATGACATCTGAGTCTGCCCAATTGCCCCCACCCTCATGCCCCCACACTTTTTCATGCACTCAACCTCATGCCCCCACACTTTTTCATGCACTCAACCTCATTCCTCCTACTCTCCAATTTATCATGCCTCCACTCTAGTGGCCTCACCCTCATTCTTCCTCTTTCCTGCCTCCACCCTCCCCATCAGGTCGCCGCATTCTTCGCAAGATGGACCTTTTTCAACAGCAGGCCGCCCGCTCCCTCTCCTCCCAAGCTTCCGCCCCAGCCTCGGCCCAGCCTGCTCCAGCCTCGGCCTCAGGCTCGGAAGCCAGCTTCCCAACCAGCCGAGGCATGGCCGGAGGGGCGGGAGGCGCACGAGCAGGAGGAGCCGAATGGGGGCGAGATGGGGTAGCAGAGAGGAGAAGGGGAGGAGGAGGAGGGTGGGGGGGTGGTTGGGGAGGAGTAGGAGGAGGAAGAAGAAGAGGAGGAGAGATGGGAGAGAGGGAGTGGGAGGGTGGATGGGGGGATGAGGAGATGGAAGGGGGGTGGGCAGATTCGTTTGAGCCTCCCAGCTTCGTCCGCCCGCCCACCCCTCACACTGCTTCGCTTCTCCAAGCCACCATCGCTGCTGCCGCTTCCACTTCCTCTGCCACTCCTCCTCCTCCTCCTCCTATTGCTGCTGGCGCTGCTGCCGGTGCTGGCTGTGGTGGCGTTGGTGCTGGTGCTGCTGTTTTCGCTGGTGCTCGTTCTGCTGCAGCTGCCGGTGCTGTTATTGCCCTTCCTTCTCCTCCATCTCCTCCCTCTCCTCCCTCCGCTCCTTCCCCTCCCTCCCCTCCCTCACCCCCCACCTTCCACCCTCCTGCGTTCTTCCCTCCTCCATTAACCCTCCCGTCACCCAAACCTGCACGACCTAGCCCCTTGACTCCCACCCCACCTGTCTTTTCTGTGCCATGGGCTGCAAAATCAGCTACTGCTACCACTGTTGCTGCGAGATCAGCTGCCATTACTGTTGCTGCTAAACCGGCCCCTAGTGCTGCTCTCGTTACACGCAGCTTAAGCTCCCCCTCTGCTTCTATGTCACTGGCCGACGTTGTTTCCTTAACCCATCATTCGTCTAACGAGGATGGCTCTCTAAGTGTGGGAGCAGGAGTAGGAGGTAATGTGAGACCAGGGCACAGTGAATGGGTCAGGGGAGGAGTGAGGGACGGTATGGGGGTGCTCGGGAGTGGGGGAGGGATAGTGAGGGGAGTGAGAAAGGGAGAAACAGCAAGTGCAGCAGTGGCAGCAGCAAGGAAGGCGGCTGGGAGTGTGTCTGCTGCTGCTGTTGCTGCTGCTGCCAGTGCTCGTTTCGACGCTGCTGCTGCCATTGCTGCTGGTGCTCCCGGTGCTGTGATCCCTCCTAGACCTGATTCTGCTGCTGCTCTTGTTGCTGCTGCCTCCTGTGCTGCAGTTACAGCTGATAGGGCTGGTACTGCTGTTTCTGCCGCTGCTACTGGTGCCAGTGTAAGGGGTAATAGCAGCAGCAACAGCAGGGTAGCCAGAGTCTCAGCAGCAGCGGCACCAGCAGCAGCAGGAGGAGGAGGAGGGGCGGGATGGGGAAGGCACGGTCAACTCGCCTTCTCAGCTTCCTCCTCTTCCTCCCTCCTCTCCTCCCTGCCCCCCGCCCCCCCACCACCACTGCAACCAGCAACATCAGCAGCAGGAGCAGGAGGAGAAAGAGGGTCAGGGAGAGGAGCAGGAGCAGGAGCAGGCGTGCCTCCTCCCCCTCCTCCGCCTCCTTCCCTTAAATCCCCCCCTCCGCCCACACAAGCAGCGTCCAGCACAAGGGGAAAAGGAGGTGCGCGATCGGCTGTTTTGGCAGCAGTGGCGGCAGCAGAGGCTTCCAAGAAGGAGCGAGAGGAGCAAGAGAAGGAGGAGGAGGAACGAGGAGCAGGAGCAGCAGGAGCAGGACATGCTAAAAACTTGGGCTCTGCTGCTGCAGCTTCGTCTACAGCTTCCTCTGTGCCTCCCCGTCCCCCCCCTCCCCCTCCTCCGCCTCGCCCTCCCCCTCCTCCTCCCTCCCTCCCCTCCTCCCACATCCCAGCCTCCTTTTCCCTCCCGGACCTCTCCCAGTCGTTCGGAGATCCTCGGTTCCCCACTCCCCCCCCTCCCCCGCGCCCGCCTCCTCCCCCTTCCCCTTCCCCCCAACGGTCCCACCCAGGGACGCCTGCAGGGGCAAGGCAAAGGGGGGAGGGAGAGGCAGGGGCAGGGGGAACGGCAGGGGGAAGGGCAGCGGGGGGCAGCAGTGGGGGAGTTGGGGAAGGGGGGTTGCGGAGGTCAAACCGAATGGGGCACCTGTATCGCGGGCTCAAGAGTCGAGTGGAGCAAGCTATTGTGGGCGCTCAGGCACTGGGGGAGGACAGGGGAGCTGGAGGGGGAGGGGGAGGGGGAAGAGGGGGAGTGGGAGCAGGAGAGGGGAGGGGAGGAGGAGGGGTTGTAGGAGATGGGGCAGGGCGCATGAGAGGGAGAGCGCAGGGAGGGGGGCGCGTGTCGATTGCTCTGGCACTGGCAGAGATCCATCAGAAGTGAGTTGCTCTGCGCTGCTCTGCTCTGCTCTGTTTCTTGCTTTCTTGCTCTTCTCTGTCTGTGTATGTCTCTTGAGTCGACTCAAAAAGTCGGCAGGGAGGGGGCCATGTGTCGATTGCTCTGGCACTGGCAGAGATCCATCAGAAGTGAGTTGCTCTGCGCTGCTCTGCTCTGCTCTGTTGCATGCTTCCTTGCTTTCTTGCTCTTCATTGTCTGTGTATGACTCCTGAGTCGACTCAGAAGTCAGAAGGTGAGGGGCGGGTGTTCATTGCCTGGCTTTCGCAGAAATCCACCAAAGGTTAGTTGCTCTGAGCTGTTCTGCTCTGTTTCTTGCTTTCTTGCTCTTCTCTGCCTGTGTATGTGTGTGTGCGTCCTTCTCTTGTTTGTTTGACGCCTGTTCTCCTAGTGGGGAAGATCTATGTGTCTCTCCTGCGGGTTCTCTCCCATTCGCCCTTCACGTTTTCATAGGTGATATCGCATCCTCCCTCCCTCAAGCTGTCCTTACTTTATGGTGGCCTATCGTAAACCCCTGAATTCTTCTCGCCTCTCGCTTCCTCTTGTTCCAACCTGGTTTATGCACTTGCCCCTTCTTCTTGACCCTCCAGCTCAGCGTATTTCCAGCAGATAGAGGCTGACGTGGTGAAGCATGCAGACGCCATCTGGCAGGCGAAGGCTGACCTGGAGGCCTTCCAGACCACCGATTTCGAAGAGCTGGTGGCGTTTCGAGCCAAGATAGAGTCGCTTCTCCAAGACTTGACGGACGAGACTCAGGTAACTGGGTAACCCTACGGCCTATTAGTAATCGAGTATGGGGGAATGTGGGTAGCCGTGTATTGAAGATGCTGATTTCGACGAGCTGGTGGCGTTTCGGGCCAAGATAGAGTCGCTTCTCCAAGACTTGACGGACGAGACTCAGGTAACTGGGTAATACCATAGAGTCCGGTAACCGGGTAACTGGGTAGTTAAAAATCCGCCAAATTGCTGAATGCGCCAGTTATTTGAGTAATGAAAAAGTCGAGTAACCAAGTAACCAATAACCTGCAGGTGCCATTAATTCAAAGTACCAGAAAACTGTTGCTGCAATCGTAACTGCTGCACCTCTAACCTCCTGCAGACGTTTGTGTTTCCCACTTTTTTTTCCTCCCACCTCGCATCTCCCACCTCCTGCCTCCCCCTTCCCCTCCCTCAGGCGCTACAGCGATTTGAGGGCTTCCCAGCAGCAAGCTGGAGCTGCTGGAGCTGCTGACACTGCTAGAGCCAGTCACAAGTAAAACACATCCCACCTCCCACGTCCCACGTTCCACGTCCCCCACTCGACCCTCTTGCAGGTGCTACAACGATTTGAGGGCTTCCCCAGCAGCAAGCTGGAGCTGCTGCGAGCGTCGGCATCGCTGCACTCGCGCCTCTCCGCCCTCTCCCGCGACCTGCTCTCTGCGGTGCCCATGAGCAACAACGACAGGGGAGGGACGCCCGGTGCTGGTGGAGGTGCTGCTGGTACTGCTGGTGCTGCAGCTCCGGCGTCAGTGGCAGCGGTGGGAGTGTGTTTGGACCGGTGCGAGCGGCTGTTTGATCGCGTCCGGAGGGAGGTGGAGGCAGTAGAGAGGAGCAGGGAGGAGGACGCTAAAAAGTTTGCAGCGCAGCGGCTGCCGTACAGCAGTGGTGCCATCGAGAGGGTGAAGGCGGCTGCGGTGCGCCTCTCCTCTCGCCTCTTGGAGCTGTCAGCTCAGGTAAGCTCGAGGGGTGAGGGTTAGATTGACAGGGTCGAGGTTGAACGCGGTGGAGTTGGGTGCAAGAGAGTGTGGTGGACTTGGATGCAGTTGAGCGATTGACAGCAGCAGGGGTGGTATAGCTGGTGTGACAGAGTGCAGCGGCTGCCGTACAGTGGTGGCGCCATCGGGAGTGTGAAGGTAGCTGCTGTGCGCCCCTCCTCCCACCTCCTACCGTAATATTTTATGCTCAGGTGAACGGCTGTCAAGTCCACATGGTTCTTTCCAATTGTCCCCAGTAATTCTGCCTGTGATGCAGCCAGTGCACGTGGCTCCTCTCCTTACGCTGCTTCTCATCGCTGATTTCTAAAAAATAATTACTGCCAAATGCTCCAAAACCTTGAACCCTGAACCCCGAACCTCTTCTTCCTGTGGTGTATTTTCTGTGAACAGGAGAGCATGAAGCTGAGGGCATCAGTGGAGCCGGTGGATGGGCGCATTCCTGTGTACGATGTGCCTAGAGTAAAAAAAACCCTGAACCCTTTTTTCCTGTGTTGTTTTGTGCGAGCAGGAGAGCATGAAGTTGAGGGCGTCAGTGGAGCTGGTGGATGGGCGCATCCCCGTGTACGATGTGCCGCGAGTCAAGGCGGGCCTGTTTCTTCTCTGGCGCTGCTTCCAGTTCGCATTCCGGGCTTACAATTTTGCAGGCGGACAGGATGAAACAGCGGAAGAGCTGGCTCTCACAGTGGCCAAGGAGATGGAAGCGTACCCAGCTTACATGTGGGGATGATGTGATGTTATGTCTGACTGGCTCACACGGTATTAATCACAGACAATTGTGTGGTACGGTATCTTCTTCATGGTTGTCAAGGGGGTGATGTCAATCATATACAAAAGCAGCAAAGAGAGAAGACTGCCTTAACCATACAGCACCCTAGGTTTCAGCTCCACTTCCTCATTCACCCACCGTAAGGCTTCAGCCTCCTTCCCTTCCCTCTCACCCATCCCAGGGGTTAAAAACTCCCTTCACTCCCACTCACCCACCCTATAGTTTCAGCCCCTTGCTCCCACTCTACAGAATGAGGAAGTTTCCGCACCTTTCCGCACCCTAGGAATGAGGAAACGGCTGGAGAGAGTAAATAATACATGCGCCATGATGCAAAGGTGTCAGTAAATACAAAGTTGCTTGCTACCAGGCAAACCTTACAATTGCCTGGATAATATTATCACCCCAGACTCTACAAAGACCACCCAACGGGTTCTCTAGGACCAGGACGTATGAAACTGCAGGAGAAACCACCGGAGCTAGGAATTTAGGGCTGGAAGTTGCTGTCCAAAAAGCCATTCTCTACGAGCACCTGCTCCCGTTTGGCCTTATCCAAATCCGAGTCCACCATCATCGCCACCAGCTGCTTGAACGACACCTCGGGCTTCCATCCAAGTTTTTCCCGGGCCTTGGCGGAGGATCCGCGAAGGTTGTCCACCTCGGACGGGCGGAAATAGCGGGGGTCGATCTCGACGTGCTCCTTCCAGTCCAGGCCGACGTAGCCGAAGGCCTCGATGAGGAATTGCTCGACGGTGAAGGATTCCTCTGTGGCCAGCACGTAGTCGTCAGGCACCTCCTGCTGGAGCATCAGCCACATGCCCTGAAAGACGGATACCGGAAGGAATTGTGACCGTTAGGCAATCGCATCTCGACTCATTGTTGCTTGTGTTTGTTAGATTATTCGTTTGAACTGACTGACTTACGAGTGGCGAGAGGGGGGAGGGAGGGTGGGGAGGAGCGAGATTGAGCGCAGGAAATACGGCAAAGACTCAATGTTTGAGAACCAGGCGATACAGCAATCGTGACATTCGGATTTTAACGACAGAATGGAAACACAACATCCAGCATTCGTACCTTGACATAGTCGCCGGCGAAACCCCAATCACGAGAAGCCTTGAGGTTGCCGAGGTACACCTTCTTTTGAAGGCCAACCTTGATGCGGCCGACAGCGCGGGTGATCTTCCTCGTCACGAAGTTCTCACCACGCCTCGGGCTCTCGTGGTTGAAGAGAATGCCATTGCACGCGAACATGCCGTAAGCCTCGCGGTAGTTCACGGTGTACCAGTGAGCAGCCACCTTGGAGACGGCGTACGGCGAGCGAGGATGGAAGAGAGTCTTCTCGTCTTGAGGAGGCGGTGTAGCTCCGAACATTTCGGAAGATCCGGCCTGGTAGTATTTCACGGAGCGTCCGGAGTTCTCAATGTGGTTGCGAACAGCCTCGAGGAGGCGAAGAGCTCCCGTGCCGACGACATCGGCGGTGTACTCAGGGTTCTCGAAAGAAACGCCGACGTGGGACTGGGCACCGAGGTTGAAAACCTCATCAGGCTTGATCTGGTCAATCCAGTGACGGAGAGCGGTAGCATCGGACAGATCACCGTAGTGGAGTCTCAGCTTGGCAGAAGATACGTGAGGATCGCGGTAGATGTGGTCCAGGCGCTGGGTGTTGAAGTTAGAGGAGCGCCGGATGATACCGTGGACTTCGTAGCCCTTGGACAGCAGAAACTCTGTCAGGTAGGACCCATCTTGGCCAGTGATACCGGTGATAAAGGCTTTCTTAACAGGGCCTTCGGAAGCCATAGCTGAGAACTCAATAATCAGAGTCAGAAACTGGAGATTTGACCAGAGACACTGAAATTTCAATGCGAATGCTAGTAGAATGTGCTGCTGTAAATCGTGAGGAGGGCTTCAGAAATGTGATTTCCAGAAGCTCAGAGAAATGCGGAATGCAACGGAGTTAGGGCGTGCCTGATTATTATGTGGCAATGATCCACAGGCTCGGCATTTGTGGTTGTTGGGATCAGAGGCTCGGGAGGTTCACCGAACTGTCCATGCGTGGTGTGAGAACTCCGATTGGTGAAGAAATAGGCTCGGACTCCACCAAATTTTATCTGGGAGCGTGCGAATCAGGCTCGTCGTGACGACCTCTGCCAGGTTGGTCTGGTTGGGTTGGTGATGTGGTATCCCAAAAGGCGGGGTGTGCCTGTCCCGAGGTACTGTCGGCGTGATGCCACGTTTGATTGAAAGTTGTGTGCGTTGTGGAAAGCGGGACCTTGCGTTGCATCCCGTTACAGTTCATGCGAGTGGCTGCCCCGTTGGGGGTCCAGGTGGTTTGTTGAGGGTGACCACCTGCCCCAGGTGGTGTTGAAACTGGAAGATTGATCCACGGGAAAATATGTCAATGGTAACTTACATGGGGCACTATAACGCGTATGGTAACGATTTCAACGCGTCTGGTAACTCGCTTAACGCGTTTAGTAACTCGCTTAACGCGTTTGATAACTTGCTTAACGCGTATGGTAACTTAACACAGGCGAGTGATCACGCGAATGGTAACTACATGAAACTCCCGCCAAAATGATCCTGAAATAGAGGAATTTAACAATTTTGAACGCTTTTACGCACAATTTTATCTTTCTTGAACAAGTCCCGCCGCGACTTTGAAGGACCCCGTTTGTTCTATTACCACGGACCAAAAAGATTCAGAGCCATTTGATATATATGTATATAGCTCGTACAAAAACGGTTAAAATCATATTTTTGAGAGCATGATTGCGAACTTGCAAAATGATAAAAAAAAAAAAAAACACATTCCGTGAAAGGACCTCAAGGTTTTTACGTTTTTGTAATTGCTGCAACGTTGGCCATTTTTTTCATGTGGGAAAAATACCTCTTTAAAATTACTGGTTTTATTTTAAAAAAACCATAAACGCCTTTTCGCAAGGAGTTTAGGGTTGATGCTCTCAAATTCATTTACCATCTGAAAGGGGTATAGATTTGTTTTGTCAAACTATAATATTGTGTAGGCTATAGTGGGGTAGCCCATGTGGGGTACACATTTCTAGGGTTGCATATTTGTATCACTTCCATTCCTTAGTCATTTCATGCTCGTTCTAAGTTTCTCATGGTATCGAGCAGGTTCCCTCGTGGGAACTGTGCCTAGGGCCCACCACATCGAACATTTTTTTTCCCTGCCCGGAGCGCGCTCCCCGAGTTGCGCTCCCCTCTACACTCGTCGAGCCGCCCTGGCGGCCTCCCTTGCGGCCCCACCGCCCTAGCTTGCGGCCCCGCCACCCTCCCTTGCGGCCCGTCGCCGCCCTCGAATGCGGCCCCGTCGCCGCCCTCACCTGCGGCCCGTCGCCGCCCTCCCTTGCGGCCCCGCCACCCTCTGTTGCGGCCCCGCCACCCTCTGTTGCGGCCCCGCCACCCTTTGTTGCGGCCCCGCCGCCCTCACCTTCGGCCTCGGAGCCGCCCTCCGCTGCGGCCCCGTCGTCGCCCTCACCTGCGGCCCGTCGCCGCCCTCCCTTGCGGCCCTGCCACCCTCTGTTGCGGCCCCGCCACCCTCTGTTGCGGCCCCCCCGCCCTCACCTGCGGCCTCGGAGCCGCCCTCAGCTGTGGCCCCGTCGTCGCCCTCACCTGCGGCCCGTCGCCGCACTCACCTGCGGCCCCGACGCCGCCCTCAGCTGCGGCCCCGTCGCCGCCCTCACCTGCGGCCCGTCGCCGCCCTCACTTGCCGCCTCGTCGCCGCCCTCAGCAGCGGCCCCGCCGCCACCCTCACCTGTGGCTCGTCGCCGCCCTCACCTGCGGCCCCGACGCCGCCCTCACCTGCGGCCCCGACGCCGCCCTCACTTGCGGCTCCGCCGCCCTCACCTGCGGCCCCGCCGCCTTCAGTTGCGGCCCGTCCCCGCCCTCACCTGCGGCCCGCCGCCCTCACTTGCGGCCCCGCCGCCCTCGCTTACGGCCCCGCCGCCCTCAGTTGCGGCCCCGCCGCCTTCACTACTACAGCGCCGCCCGTCGCCCGAGCCGCCCGAGCCACCTCACCCAGCCGAGCCGCCGACCGCCGCGCCGCCCTGCAGCAGCACAACCGAGCCGCCCGGCAGCAGAGCAGCCGAGCCGCCAAGCCGCCCAGTCGCCCGACCGCCGAGCCGCCGAGCCGCCCAGTCGCCCAGCTGCCGAGCCGCCAAGCCGCCGAGCAGCCGAGCCGCCGAGCCGCCCAGCAGCCGAGCCGCCGAGCCGCCGAGCCGCCCTACCGCCGAGCCGCCCGAGCAGCCCTGTCCGGTGAGCACAGAGCCTCTGTCACTACACTGCCCCTTTCCCTACTGCTTGCACTGCTAGTCTACTGTTGTCATGGCTACCCCTAGTGTCCTCGCTTTTGACGCTGAGGGTCGAGCCATTGACTTTGAGGTCTGGGTCGACGACCTGCAGCTGTTCTTACAATGCGATAGGGCAGACAGTCTCTCTCTCTTTGACCTCACCTCTGGCGCCTCTCCTGCCCCTGCTGCTGATGCTGACCCCACTGTTCGCTCCCAGTGGGCCAACCGCGATGCTGCTGCACGTCTTGCTGTGCGTCGCCACCTGCCTACCACTGAGCGTGCGCACTTTAGTCAGTACAAGAGTGCTCAGACCTTGTACGACGCTGTAGTTGCGCGCTAATCTTCCCCTGCCACTGCTGCACTGAGCCGCCTCATGCTACCGTACCTCTTCCCTGACCTTGCTGCCTTTCCCACAGTCGCTGACCTCATTACGCACCTCCGCACTAGTGACACTCGCTACCGCGCCGCGCTTCTTGCTGAGTTCTGTGCCAAGAACCCCCCCCCAATGTACATCACGCTCTATTATATAGTCACCCGCCTCCCAGACTCCCTTCATGTAGTCAGGGACCACTTCCTCTCAGTCCGTCCCACCACTCTCACTGTTGACCTCCTAGAGAAGGCCCTCCTAGCAGCGGAGAAGAGCATAGTCGCTGT